AGATTTACTGCGGAGCAGTTCTTTTTAATTGACGGAAATCGTACACTGTCGCTGTTCTTCAGAGCTCATTGTTGAAGCCCGATTCACAGTGACTCTGACATTCAGGGCAGTCGTCTTATAATAATATGGAACTTGGTGAGTTGTGTTTAATCGTAAATGCCCGTGAGCGACAAGCAAATGGACTTTGCTTTGAAATAGCTCCATATCTTGTCTGCAAAATCATCAAACAGCATAGCAAAAAGAAACATGCATGATCAGCTCTGGTAGGCCAATAAGACAACAGCCAGTGAGAATTTGAGCTTTGCTCAGTGTCCTATGAGGAACAGACATCAACAATATATTAATATCCAGTTTCCAGAGAAACATCAATGCATGGGGACAAGTGGCATCAGAGGAAAGTGGTATCTTTACACAAAAGAAGGAACCTGCAAAACCAACTAGAAAGCAGCAGCTGCGGGCAAGAGGGTAGGTAGGCAAGAGGGATAATGCCCAAAGTGCAGGAAGCAGCCTCCTTTCCTAGTTGACAGTGCCAGTGATCCTTCCTAGCACGATTTGGCCAGACAAGTCATCTCTCTACCAATAGAAATCCGCAAGGCGACTACATAGTTATCATTGTTTCCAATGGATGAACAAGCACAAAACATTTATGACATGTGACAACTACAGGAAAATTCATCTTGGAATTCACTTGAAACTCCTTATGACTTTTTTTACTATCCTCTGTCACCAGAACAACACCAGAAATTAATTATGTAAATCCAAAGTAGTAATAATTGATGTATTACGATCATATGAAAGTCTAAAAGCTCAAATATGGTAAATCATGCCATAACTTTAAAATAGCGACATGTCGGGTCCGACATAAAGATCATACGAAGTCGTATGACGTAATGTCTTGTAGTCTAATAGCTCTTGAGTAATGCGGTGGTCTCTGTGTATGACGCCGAGGTAAAGAAATTAATTATACAATTCAAGGTAGTTAAAGTTTGCGTCATGGATCATACATGTAGATAAGGAATAAGGTTATAAGCAATACCTTGAGAGAGATACGGGGGTCATGTAGAAGGAAGCAGCGGAGGAGGAGATTGGAAGCGACGGAGTACGGAGCTGACGAGTTAAGAGTTGGAGACTTCATTTAGAATATGTAGTTACCGAGCGTCAACGAATAAATCGTTTAACTGGTCATTATGTGGACTTGGGTTTTTTTTGCTCGACCTTACGTAAATCTGACACGAACCGTGGAATCTTTGGATTGCGTTATCCACTAAGTCTAAAACGTAATGTCCTATTTCGAGCCCACGCTTGAATTAAGCGTACAAAATTATATAAGTTTAGGATAATAATAATTTATTAAGCCAATAAAATACAAATGTATAAAATCGGGAATCTTTTGCCCTGTAGTAGCGCCATTGAAATATAAAGAATAAAAATTAAAATTACATGTCAGAGTTAAAAATAGTTACTGCCGAAGGATAAAAGCTATTTAAAAATCGCTTACTACCCTTAAAAGCTAAGAGTCTCGAATCGCTAGGTAAAAATTTAAAAAGGGTATGGGCTGGATGGGAACTGTCTGTCATTATTGATAATGTTTTCTTTTTAGTCCTGTCTAGATATAGTATGGACGGGAGTTAGATCTGTTCCAATTACAATCCCTGCAGTTTCGACATCTTTTCCAACTTGTTCCTCTCCTCCACAGTTGCACGTCCATACCAAACAGTTACTGAATAAGTTAAAATACTCTCTAAAATAAAGGATATTCGTCACATGTATATGTAAGAGGTTCATTACAGACAGGTACTTGGATTTGAACAAAAGAATAGCTAACAATAGTCACCATAACGCCAAATCAGCCATGCGGATCTCTTGCACTTGTTGTCTGGTAAAACCCTTTTAAATTGTTATATGACATATTTTTGCACAAATTAGACTTTAAGACGCATGCAAGCGAAGGTAAAGTCGTAAGCCTATATTGATGTTGGAGCCTTGCAATATTTTCTATTTGCATTATATGATTTATATCTCACAAGAGATACGACATATGACTTCTACACCCAAAAATTATAAGACGATGTACCGGTATAACATGCTAGTGTAAGAGCGATAGCTTCAAATTGGTGAATTATGCCTTACCCGTATTTCAAAATTGTGACGGTCATCTTGGATTTAAGGATCAAAATAGATACCAATTGTCTCCAAAGCACCAGGTATGTGTTCTTTAGTTTTAATTAAGCTACTTTGGTCTCTTAAACTTGTTTCAAGGTCTTTAAGATGTTATGAAACGTTATGTACTAATTAGACTACATAACGCATGTAAGTCTATGTGACAACTTAAGCCTACATGTATATTGATTTTGGAGGCTTAAATAGTTTGTACTCACATTTTATGAAATAGATAATGTATCTGCACCAGAAATTAATCGAAAACGGCGCATTATTCCTTTACAAAGATGTAATACATATATTTCAAAATGGCGAATTATGCCCAATTTCAAAATGGTTTCTGGCGGCCAGCTTGGATTTGAGGGATAAAATGCTCATAATTCGTGTGGAAACGCTTCATCCTTAAATAAAACTGCCGCAAAAAATGTTCTCTTTCCTGTCGTTCAGCACAACGTAACTCCCGCTATCACCTAGCTTACTTAGTTATTCATAGTTTGAGACAACTAATTATGTAATTTATAATCAGCAACTTCAAATACCGTGAAATGAATTCTTCAGAATTAAAGAGATGAAAACCACACTTATCATAAATTTGAGTTCTTCGTTGGTTCATTTATATGGTTCTATTCAGTCATGGAAATTCATATTCAATGCATGGGTTTCCACACGAAATACTGACGTGACCAGTTTTGCAACGCTACTGCTCTCATAAAAATAGCCCGTAAATCAATAGAAAATCTTCTCCAAGTTTATGAAATCAACAAAGTGCACTTTATGTGCTCCATTTGTAACAGTGAATATACGTAAACAATAAAAACACACAACAGGCGGTCTGAATTTCGGAACATGACGAAGTGACAGAGAAAGTGTATCCTTGACATGTGACTTAATGTTGTCGAGAACAGTTACCTCGTTTCGCTCTGTCTCGTATACTTAAAAATAAGGCAGAGATCACCGAAAATGAGGCACTTACAGGGAGATTAATTGCTGGATATTTTTAGGCATACGTGCATGCGTATTTCCGTTACTACTAAATCAATTGCCCAGAAGCATGAGGTAACGTACAGTATGTAAACAGAATGCCATATTTACTTAGAATGAAATATAATTTTCTGTTACCATGAGTGAAAATATACTTTGTTGTTCCATTCAGCCCAGCGAGGCGGTGCTTTTCAGTGAGGCACTTACAAATTTCAGAGAGGCGCTTGTTTCAGTGCAGGGGAAACACTGTAACTGATCAGAACGGAATGTGACGCATCAATCAGGCCTTCTTTATATATTGCAACAGTATTGATGCCCCCCTAAAACCAACATATTATTCTTGATGATTCGTGTACATTTCAATAGCCTAGGTACTACCTACGCCCTCCCTCTGCCACATCTTTAGGTGTGGAATCCCAAATTCTACACGTAGGACTACGCTGAGCATACATTCCGCCATTTTGAAAATCAAATTCACACAAATTCACCGAAAGCACACTGCGGCCACTTTTGCGAATGAAATTTAAATTTTACGTGCCAACAAGTACCCCCTCATTCAGCAACCATCCCGCAACCATAACTTTCCTTGCATCGCCTTCTAAAACCAAACATTAACCAATTTCACACTCGCACCAGGTACGAACTTGAATTTTCATTAGATGTAAACATTCTTTCTGGCCTTAGGGTTAGGGTTAGGGCAAGGAGTTATAACAGAAGGAGATTACACGCAAGCCTATTGTCCGATGTCTGTTACGGTGGGCGGAGCTAGCTACGGGGGGCCTCCTGTCTCAAGGTTTCGTCTGCGTCGCTCTCCTCAGCTTGGAGATACATTTCATATGCGTTATTTCGCGTTAGAATTCGAGATCAGTAGTGTCAAAGCGCCGCTGTATGCTGACGATTTTTTTCACAGCTAATTATTTGGACGATGTGCTGGAAGAGAACGATATCATAGAAAGCGATTATAAGGTGGTGAAGAACAAAAACAAAAATTTTACACATAAGCAGTAATTAATGAAGTTATAAGAATGATTAAGTTGCTACAGTTTTCCAGTTTTATGCAGTCTATGATGGCATTTTTTTCAACCGTGCAAATAGAAATAATTATATTTTTTTTTATCTGACTTGCTGATAGCAGTCTGTGCTAGATACTATTCCACTCACAGGCCAGCAAGGTCTGAGAATCTAATGGGCTGAATGAAAAAAAATCCCAGAAGATAAAGTGGCTAATTCTTACAAATAGGATCAAAAACATGGGATTTTCAAAAGGTTATTATAGATCAAGACAACACTTAGTAAAAACATTTATAAAATGTTACAGCTGAAAAAATTAACTGGGCCAGTAAGTGACTGCTTTAAAGAAATTTCACTGAAACAGAAATTTCACTGGCAATCAGGTAGACTGTTATACCATGGCACTCAACAATTTATGTATAGGTTTTGATTTTTTTTCCACGTGACAGTAACATAAAACTTATGTCCACTTTTGCAATGTATAGAGTCAGTTAGGTGACTGAAAATATTTTAAAATGTCATGAAGGAGCACTATTAATTTAATGCAATCTCTGTTGGCCAGTCTTATCCAGTTTCTTCTCCAAAAAGGATAACTCAAGTGAGAATTTCTTCAGGGCCTTTTCTTCTGCCTTGCCACTCAGAAAAGAGAGAAACCTGTAGGTTAGAAAAAAAAAAAAAAAACATAATAATAGCATAATGAACTACTAGTATCCAAGCAGACATTATGGAATTACGCAGTGAAGTTTAATGTGTCTTGTTATGACTTGATTGAAATAATGTTCACCACATAAANTAGTCAGCAACATGTAGCTGAGGTGTGCATTATTTTTTTCAGACGAAATGACAGAGATTGACGATCTAGACGCCATAAAGGCGCACAATATATAACCACACTGTGGCGGGCAGTCCATAGCTTGTCACGGTGCCACAGGACTCACGCGATGAATCACGGCTTACATTACAATCATCACCATGATCGTGTAATCGCGTGTTCAGCTCGGCAGGATCCCAATGCCTTGTCCCCCGAGAGTACCAAGGATAATAATAAATTATAGGAACCATCACCATCCAAATGACAACAGCAACTCCACGGATGGTAACATGAACGCAGATCAGCGCCTAGCAAATCTAAATGGAAGAAACAATGCAAATGCGGAATGGACTGTTGTAGGTGTTACTACACGCGAGCAATCGTCACAACATCAACACATTCGAGAGTCGTCCTTAGGAAGAAGCGCGACACCACTAAATAAATAAAAAAATCTTTGCATCCTTCCCAGTCAGAGAGAATGCCACATTCCCAACATCGTGATTAAAGTCTTAAGCAGAAGGTAAGAGCAAACGCGAAAATAAAGTGCCTTCAAATTCTCTGGGACAACTTTTCATTTTATTTTTAAGTTCTATTTACAGTCTATCGACGATGGTGTGGATATTCTGTTTGACCTGGAAGGGTTTCACGCCCGTCACAGTCATGTTCACTCTGTCCACATCCACAAATAAGGGGACACTGGGGGGCGCCTGTACGTCTACTGGTGGACTTTACCATCGACACGTCCACAAATTCTGTAAAAAGACAGCATGATGGGTTTCTGCGTGGTAAGCCTATTTTTCCAGACTTGATGACATTTTATGCGATGAAAATTGGAACGCGAAAGAAAGGAAATTACTAACCCAGATGACTCAGAGGCCAGAATTCCATTATTGGAAGTTCCCTTGTGGTAAATGTTCCCTCTTTTAATTGTTCAACGTTTGTCTTGTCATTATCCTGATTATCAGAAGTTGTCGAAGTCATTTTGTCAGAAGGGTCTAACACAAAGTGGTTTATTGCGTATTTACCCTACATTTTTATTCGCGGTATATAATATTTGCCCTTCATCTGTGTTGTGTGTTGTATATTGCGCAAATTGAGCTTTCCATAATGTCCGCTTTCCTGCGCATAGGATCTTTGTGAATTTAGGGTGAGCGGCAGTCGACATAAAATATATAACTCATCTCTATCTAAGACAACTAATGATACATGTGGAAGGCTGAGTACATACATGTACTAGTACAATTTACGCGTACTATAAAGTAATGACGATGTATGAATCAATATAAATCGGGCAAACGATAATTCCGAGTTTTCACCCTGTGTTAAGGGTTTCTATTTAATTACCTCCGCCAAGGAGGTTATGTTTTCACCCCTGTTTGTCTGTCTGTTTGTTTGTCTGTCATCAACATAACTCAAAAAGTTATGGACCGATTTTGATGAAATTTTGANCCAAGGAAGAGATGATTAGTGTTTGGTGGTGATCCGGATCAATAATCAATCAATAATCAATAAGAAAAAAACTAAGTTATGGACCGATTTTGATGAAATTTTCAGGAACTGTCAGAAGTGGGCCAAGGAAGAGATGATTAGTGTTTGGTGGTGATCCGGATCAATAATCAATCAATAATCAATAAGAAAAAAACTAAGTTATGGACCGATTTTGATGAAATTTTCAGGAACTGTCAGAAGTGGGCCAAGGAAGAGATGATTAGTGTTTGGTGGTGATCCGGATCAATAATCAATCAATAATCAATAAGAAAAAAACTAAGTTATGGACCGATTTTGATGAAATTTTCAGGAACTGTCAGAAGTGGGCCAAGGAAGAGATGATTAGTGTTTGGTGGTGATCCGGATCAATAATCAATCAATAATCAATAAGAAAAAAACTAAGTTATGGACCGATTTTGATGAAATTTTCAGGAACTGTCAGAAGTGGGCCAAGGAACAGATGATTAGTGTTTGGTGGTGATCCGGATCAATAATCAATCAATAATCAATAATCAAAAATATCGAAAATTTAGGGGTAAAACAGCATTGGATGCAGACTTTGCTGTCTTGGCGGAGGTCTGCGCTCTCTCAGTGCTTTGCTAGTTTGTCATATAATTCTAACAGTGGTATTAATATATGTACCACTACTACAATGGATACTACTCGCTTGACTAAGCACACAGCCATAACAGCAGTGGTCAGAAGTTTCCAAGTAACTGGTTTGGTTTTTTGTAGTGAGAGCCAGTTATGACCATAAGAATTTTACACCCTTTTCGTTACTACTGGGTTTTGATTATTTTGTGAACAATTTGCACCTTACTGTATGCAGATTGTTAGAAAAAGCAGTGGCTCGTTATTCTTTCTGTCATTGCTATTGTTTTTGTAGATTCACGTTGGTCCACGCAGAAAACCGATTCCCCGTTGTGTCACTGGAATCAGGAGTGCTGCAAAATGGAAGGATGTCGGGAATAGTGATAGTTACCGAGTTTCTTTTCATCTGTATCAAAGTCTGCACACTACACTTGGCCTGAGGGCGTTCTGGTTCTTGATTTTGGTATGAAGAGGATTGTTGTCAGTCAGTTCGGATATGATACGCATGTATACCGCCCAAACGATTTGTATTTTATGAGAACAAAGAGGAATTAAATACATTTGTAGTTACAGATACCTTTAAAGCGTGAATGCTTTTTTTTTCGATAAGAGTTTGAAATGGGTCAATAATTACATGGACAATGAGCGTGTTACGTTTTAGACAGTAGGTGTATGGAATCCAGTGAAAGTGATGTAAGCAACACTGTAGCTCTTATCAATATATCATTTCCTACGTTTGGGATTGTTGAGTTCACTGGTTGCTTCTCACACTGCTTTTATTTTAGTTGCATATTAAGTCTTAGAGCATATTGACAACAACGCTATTAGAATCGAAAAAATGACAAAAGCATTGAACAACTTTTATTTGAAAATGGAGTAGAATTGGACGTGACAGTCGTCTACTTAAATCTAAAGAACATTATCCGTTGTATAACAGATAGGGTTGATTAGCTAATTATCAACCTATAGTTAATACTTGTAAATTTGTGCTGACTAGTATTGTTTGCCATCTACGTATTAATATGTATTTTAAAAAGATCATATGACTAAATTATAATGAAAAAAATTCAAGATTTCCAATTTAGTTGGTTTGAAATTACTTCTTCTCTTTCCTTTTTCTGATGGAAAGTACGTACTTAACATCTCTAATTGTGATCAGTTTATTATCATATTTATCAGAAAATATTTTAAACACTGAGATGTTACTTACGGTTGTATTTTGTTTTGCAAATGTGTTGCTCTTGACATTTTCAATGGGCCATTTGTACTGATTCAATAAAGAGAATATTTTTGTTGGGTTATTTTCCTCCCATACATGTCTAGAACATGAAAGCATGTTTCTTTACTAGGTCTACATGTTTAAAACATACTAACAAACAAGCCACGCTGATCATGATGCATAACGTTTTATGACCTTACCGTAATCAATATCTAATAAAAATCATGGTCTACATATAGAAGTCAGAAAACTTAAAACTATCACATAAAGAATGACCAAAAAGAATTCACACAACTCGGCATCATCATTAAACCTTAATACATGTACAATCAGCCTGTTTAATTTCGATCTACCAAGATAAATCAGTTCTTTCTTTAAATAACAACAGAAAGTAATCACAAAAAAAGCTAAATGGTGAATAATTGCTCAAATTTTAATGGCACATCTAAACATAAAATCTTTGTCGTAAACAACTACAAATGTGTACTTTACACTCTGAATTACTGTGGTTTCCTCATATAGATTAAATGGTGAAAACAAACAAAGTTCATCCGGCTCATGTTCTACGCTTTTAACCCAGTTCCCCGAATATGTTCTTTTCTATCCAGCAGCGTCTGTCGTCCAATGAGAGTATAAAAATAAAGCAATTTAGTTCAGATCCGCAATTAATTTCCGGCGGTTGCTTTTTTTTCACAGCTGACTTATCAGGTGCTTCGATCGCAACTCTTGTCGCGTCACTACTCCGTCACCTGAAAGTAGACATAGACCCAAATGACATTTAATGAAAAGAAATGTCTACCATGTTAGATGATTCTTACTCCCATGATATATGAAAATTTCAGTAGCATTTGGGGGGGGGGGGGGGGGGTTCGCTTATATTCAATTACAGTGTAATTTTCTTTAAACCAACCCACACGGCAAAATGATGACGCGTGTTACGCGCCAAGTCTTCACCCTGCAAAGCAGACGGAAGAAAACACGCATAGGTAGACTTGTTATGTTATAGCTTGTTGTGCACCGAGATCCCTGTGTTCATTTATGCCCTTAATTTTTTATAAAAAAGGTGGTAATGAATCGTTTATGATTAAATATTTTACTTCTTACTTATTTACCTCTATAGCCATTTACCATTTATTCACTTTCGGCGACTACTTACGGTTTGTGTCTACTATTCTATCTACAAAAACATCTGCGATCTGTGAAGATTCGTTGAGTAAATCTGCTAATTCTTCGTTGGTCATTAAGGGGCTGAAATAAATACCATCAATTTATCAAAAGCATAACAGTATATATGGATTTACTCATGGTTCTAAAGATCACGACAAGCAAAAGTGCATGGTAACGTTCATGTACTCATACGTGCACAACATACAATCGACCAATACAGAGCAGCACTTTTATCTCCCCTATTTCCCGTTACGTGTTACAATTATGTAACGTGTTACATATATTTACACAGATATTTCAATAGTGCAGCTTGGGCGTTTTATTCAAACATACAAAGAAATTAAAATGAAATGAATGCATGGCAGATGGTTAAATCAATGGGGTCTGTAAAAAAGTCGGGTCACCATTGCCTTTACTACCCTCTTATATCAGGGGCCTCTAAAATAGTATACAAAATTAAAATGTATAGGTGTGATACAACAATTTTCTAACAGACTACTAGCGCATATTGTGGCCAGAGAGTGTGCTTTAATACCAGTATGATTTCGCTGCACTCCTAACACAATATGTCCTGATTTCAATGCCATGTAAATTGATATCCCACATGAGATGTGAGGACTGAGACGGGCAGTGTGTCGTGACCACTCCAATCTCATCCAAAAAACGTACGTGTATAGGAGCAAGCACAGACTTCAAGATTTCTGGGTGCTCATTCGATTCAAACACCACTGATTAAAACAAATAGGAATTCGAGACCATACACTCAGGCTTATGATGATAACGGTGACAGTAGTGAGTTAATAGATACCTTCCAAATAGATTTTAAAAATATTATTTGGAAAATATGTATGGATACATCATTCGTTTTGTATGGACGAGTGAGGTGCATGTGCAAATGGCCTATAAGTGAATGACTAAAATGGTATAAATACAACCGGTTTCATGAATTATTTCGTGCAAACTACCCCCTAAGTTTTGGGTATACATACGTAAGTAATACATGGCAACCATTTATATATATATATATATATATATATATATATATATATATATATATATATATATATATATATATATATATATTAATGATTAAATACGGTTATCAAATTAGTATTCGATAATACGCCTTAATAAAACAGCAGATGGAAGAGTAGGCGGCTCACTCACGTCGTAGCATATGGGGCAAATTGATCGTAATTCCAATTTCCTTAGATCCATTTGATCGTATTCAACATGATCGTTTATGATGTATTTACTCTTCGAAAGCGATAGTGCATAAAGTATCCATCTTTATATCGAAAGTAGAAAATAGGCCCTAAATAAGACGAAAACAAAACGTTTTTCAACATTGTACTTTGTATAGGCCTTTTGTTTGGGCAGTTTACAACTTACAACAGCTGAATTAAAATAAGGTTTTTTACATCGCACTAATAAAAGCTGTATTAGGTATCTTTCTTTGGATGCAGTTGATTGACTCGTAAGTTAACTGTCGTTGTACAAATACCGAAGTATAGTCTAGTTAAAAAAGACAGACTGCAAGGTTTTGACGCAGAGTATTTAACATTAAAATTAATTTCCAGGGCCCAAATATTTTCAAACTATCACTCCGTCGAGTTCCAAGTTTTAAAAATACCCATTTCCACTTTGCTTATACCATGGACAAAATTAAAATATCGTTATTATGTCCAAGCCTATACCGAATGAGCTGTTACATACATTACTTGCGGTTGGCGTATGAATGTGATTTAGATACGTAAAAGGATGTAACTGACATAACCACAGGCTATCCAAAATGAACATTCAATACAATCTGCTGAAATGTCCCTTTTGTGTACATCTGTTAATCTTACCTTTCGCTCTCTCTTGTGTTTAACAGTCTATTCCGCATCGTTTCTAACCACGCTTTCCTTTTACCGAAATTATGTCCGTAACCTGGATCGTGACTTCTGAATCCAGCTCTTGCGTCTCTCTGTAGTGCCGCAGGAAAGGCGTCCAGAAGAGAAACCAGCCCAACAAAGACAAGGAACGTTAGGATACCCTTGTGCATTGCAATCGTGAACATCGAAGGAGCGCTTTCTGTGTTCGCTCACCTATAAAGACGAAAAAATAATACAATGAAAAGAATTCGTGCAAACTACAACAGATCGGCTTATCGCCTGATTAATTAGAGACAAAACGTGTTGATTTGGTCTTTTCACCTTCGTCAACACCTGTCGTCAATGTGTCACGTTGGCAGGAAGGAATATTGTGCGGCTTCTAAACTGCTCTGTTCTCGGTTCAGCACTTGCTTTAGACGGGAAACTTACATCCTTTTTATTGTCGCTATGATTATTTTAAACCACAGGCATTAGACGATTTGACGACGGTCGCTTTTTAGTGGAATATGATTCCACTTCCACTAGATTACATCCAATTTATAGTTAGTGAAACGAACGTAACATATAAAACTTCCGCCGAATTCCCCTGCCCCCGCAGCAATGGGCATATAATGAACATTGTGTAATCTGAACAAATGCAAATTGTTTTAGGATATCTCTCTTAAATCAAAATGCAACTCTTTTTCCATGCAGTATCAACGGCGTTTTAATGAATTATTGATATGAGCTGCATTATGCATATTTGAACAACGAACAAAACTGGCATAAAAGACAAAAAATCTATTTGTCGCGAAATCTGATCCTTAAACATTTTGTGTTACTTTTCTGTTTTTATCTGAACAATAAATATAGTTTGTTTCGTCCACTTATCTACCGTTGGTTAACTTTATTATCCAGCCTTTTGAGCTCAATAGAAAATGGATCGTTGAAATGAGGTAAAGATTAAGACTGCCCATACAACCTTTTAAAAATTAGAAAATTTCCTGAATGCAATGCAAATTAAGAAAGCGTATTTTCCAACGCGACAAAAAATGCGAGGGATTGAGGATTGGCAATGGCATTAAGAAAAGCCATTTGCCTTAACTCGCCATTGCGAAGGTCACAAATTGACGCACGGGCTTTGTCTTCTCCCACATTATAAAATAAGAAAGCACTTTTCGCTGCACGGAACATTTTCATAATTTAACAGTAATATAAAGATTATAAAGCGATGTATTTTCTAGATTTAAAATTGCAAGCCGAAAAACAAATTATCTGAAAGAGACATCTTGCATTACCAATAGCTTATAAATCCCGTTTATGCTTCTAGATGAACACTTGTTACCATTTAGCATCGAATGTACGTTAATTAAATGATGTGGAATAGATGTATGGATACAAAGGTTAATTGGGCTTTGTTCTTTTCTGAAACAGCTTAAATAGTTAAAGAAATAGTAAAATGTCCGACAAGTTGTAAGTTTGTTTGTTTGAAGGTTTGTATGCAAATATGCTAAAAATGTAGATGTATGTATTCCCACAAGGTACTTTTGGTAATTTTGGGACAAGACAGATACAACAATCTTAAGTAATATCATTTGAACTGTTGGTAATTTTTTTAAACCTCTAATGGATCGTACTCTGTAACTTTGTTATCCACAACGGCAAAGCACTGTTTAGAGCACTGTTCCTACTTTGATAGCAAACTTGTAGCGACAAAGAGATTTAACTTCTACACAAAGGAAGATGAGTGCGTAAACATTAAAATTGATTAGCTGTATCGGTAAATCATTTCTGGAGCACTTGAACTAGATATGTGATGAGAAAATCACGCAATAATTGACCTACGAGATAACGTACAGAGACTCCTAGTGACAAGATGTATGATAGATCGGATATACAAAATTGGAATTGTAAACGCGAACACATGCGTTTTTTTTCATGGGTTTAAGATTCGAGTTAAGTCTTCAAGGAATTGGGATAGAAGAACCGATTTTAAAAGGTTGTCGACAGCATAATTTCAACTTGGTTACGTTTTTACAGTGCTTTGCCAAGCAAGGTTTTGTTATCAGCACATGCACGCAGTGTTTAAATGAACGGCACCATTCCTCCGATTCCTACACATACGCATTGTAAATCTGATCAACAGAGCAAAAGATACGGTACTTAATGGAAGTGTGCCCAGCAGAGATGGTTTTATCTCTTTCTCGGACGTTCTACTATCGGAGATATCACGTTTGCCGGAAGTAATTTCATACCGGTTAATGTGACGCGCTATTAAATGAATTATTGGAGCTATTCCCTGTTCGTCTTCATTTATCACTGATAAACTGATCGTATCAGCAGGGTCACACGCTTACTCACAATACTGATCAACATTACTTACTGCAGTACACACACACACACACACACACACACACACACACACGTTTGCTGGTACCCGTAGAGTATTAAAAACCAGTGTTTCGTTAAGGGGGGCCTCAATGACGGGGTTAGTGGTCATGAATATACCCCCAGTTTAATTGACTTTCTTCTATACATACATATCTTTGTGACTGGAAGATTATGCATTCAGAAAGACTCTCCTTTCTGTTTAAATAGTCCACATATTAAACCATTATAATAGAAGATATAGTAT